TGCAAAAAGTTTAACAATGAAAAATTACATCATTGAAAATAGATGTTTATATAGTTTTATTTTTTATTAATATAATTTTACTATCTTAGTTTCCCATCATTGTAATTCCAAGTAATTTATATAGTTTCATTTTTTATTAATATAATTTTACTAAAGATATTTATTATTTTTTTTATGAGTATGTAAAATATAAATAATAATAATAATAATAATAATAATAATAAAACTTTTATTCACATAATAATTTTTTTACATATCTATACTTATATAAAAAGGCATTCTATTTACTAGAATTAGTAGTAAGAAAAGTCAAAGGTAATTAATGCATTCTATTTTCATCAAGTATTTTATTTAATTATTTTAGTTAATTGTTTTATATCATAACACTTTTTCAATACAACTTACCATTATTTTTCTATTTTAGTTAGTTGTTTTATCTCATAACACGTTTAAAATCTTGTGAAATATTATTATTATTTTTATAAAGCACATATTATTTGCTAAAAATTGTATATATATATATAATACACATTATAGTGCATGGTAGATTATTTAAATTTCAACCGACCAAAATGCCAATGATTTAAATTTGAACACATATGCGTTTGACCAATGTTTGGATGATTTAAAATTGAGCCCATCAAAAATTATTTAAATTTGAACACACCAGAAAGTTTATGTACTTTTTATTTATAAATATATTGAAAGTGGTATTTAATGGTTGTTATATAAACTAATTTAATATATTTGTAATGAATAAAAGTTTGAATGAATAATTTGTAATGTTATTCATAATGTTTGTGACTTATGAGACACGAACACATAACTCCATACATATTTTCCAGAGGGCGGTTTAATAAATTTTTAGACTTAACGTTAATTAAAATAGGCAGAATATAGATAATAATATTATTACTTTTTAGACTTAAACGGGTAAGGCTGTGAAAATAACTCATTTAATAACTTTGTCCCGTGCATCGCACGGGGTACGTACTAGTTTATATGAAAAAATAAAGTTAGTTGGACCTTATAATGAAAAGTTAATTAAAAAGTAAGTCTTAAAGTGAGAATAACCTAAAATATAAACTTTCAGTTGAAAAAGTATAAAATTTAGACCTTATATTAATACATATACTAAAAGTTAGGTCTTGCAATATGGAATCAACTGTTGGCTTCATACGAAAATCGAATAAAAATCTTAGTAAATATCTGTCTATTTTCGTTAACATAATTATGAAGTTAAATAATAAAATTGCCTGTGTATAATAGGTGTGTAAACATGGAATGCAAACTTCCATAACTGCAATTCGCATTCCATTTTCATTTGTCAAACCCTAAAAACACAAATCTCAATTCTCACATTTCCAATCCCTCTACATTCTCATTTCTATATCATACGCGTTGTGTGTGATATGTATGTATGTATAATATATATATGGATCCATCTCATGCATGCCCTGTATTAACTCGTGAGCTGTGAGGATCTGAAACTCCCCTTTCCGTTTCAAACTCTAAACTCTAAAATCGGTACGTCTTTTAATCTTTTTTTTTTTTTTGTTTATATTTGTTAGGTCATTCAAAGTCATGTTGGCATTGATTGTGCATTACCTTCCTGTTGAATTTGGTTGTCATTTCTGGTTAGATCTGTGATTTGGTCAGTAATTGATGTGGAGTTCCGGAGTCTATTGCGATCTGACAAACTGAGTTTTTTTTTTTTTT